ATCGTGATGTGAGTAGGTCATGTGCTGCTTTGCTCCGTGTTGGATGTGTAGACTGTCTAGTCTGCGCTCTGCCACGGTCTTGCTGCCCGTGCCGCTTGCTTTGCAGGTCGTCCTCGCTGCTCTGCTGCCTTGACGCCTACCCGCGAGTCGTGCCTCCTGTGTCTTTTGCTCGCGTGCCTTGTGGTGGTGCCTCGCGCTTCGCTGCACGGCTGCTGAGCTGCTTGTCCGTGTGCCCTGTTGGCCTTCAGTGTCCTTTGCGTGCATGCCTTGTAGTTCGGTTGCCTTGTTGGTGATGCCCTGTGCTTCACTGCACGGTTGCCGGGCTGCTCGTCTGGTTGCCCTGTTGGCCTTCCGCGTCCTTTACTTGCTTGCTTGCTTTGTAGTGTCGTCGCCTTGCTGATGTTGCCTTGCGCTTCACCGCACGGTTGTCGAGCTGCTCGTCCGCTTGCCCTGTCGTTCCTTGCAGTTGTCTTTGGTGATAAGCAGTTGAGCTGCCTCTACTGTGTTGCCTGGTGCTCCACAGGGTTGCTGCCCGCTGCTATGTCCCGCTTGGGGACAGTCTGCCTTCAACATGGGTCAAAGGGTTCATGACCCAAACCATCAATACGGGGATTCCTCAGATTGTCGAGGGTTCAGCCTCCTGATGAGTCGGTGCAACTCCGACGAAACAATCTTATCATCATCAATTTTATTTTTTTTCGGTCTTTTTTTTTTTTTTTTCCGAAAACAATAGCTCCGATCTATTCGTGGGGAGCGGCACGTGTTGGGAACTAGGCCCAACGTCCCTTGTAAGTAGATGAGGCTATGCATTAAAACCCCCCACACGCTTCCTTCCGTAAGGCCGAAGGACCCCTGAACAACATTGATTGCTCCACCTTAGTGGAGGATTGACTGTCAGCTTGCCATATCTCTCTTTTTCCTCTCAGACCTGGAAGCCTGGTCTGCCTGATAATGTTATGTCTGTCACTGCTTGTTCATCTGCTGCTAATGCAGTTCCCACTGTTGCGGTTCCCACCGCCGCCGCTTCCACCGCTGTGGTCTCCACTGCTGCAGTTTCTACTGCTGCTGTTTCAACTTCGGGTTTCACTCCAGCAGTTTCTGCTACGGAAGTTGCCTCCGCTGCTCGTCCTGTCACTGCTTGTTCATCTGCTGCTAATGCAGTTCCCACTGTTGCGGTTCCCACCGCCGCCGCTTCCACCGCTGTGGTTTCCACTGCTGCAGTTTCTACTGCTGCTG